AAAGAAATGTAAGGGTATTTCAGCCACCCATAATCAATTACTTAATTTTTGGCCCAATAATTTTAACAATGTTCCTTTTAATGAGAGTAAGTAACCATAAAGTTATCTTGCTTTTCTCTTTTCCTGGGATTTTCCATCATTAGGGGCAACATTTGTTTTTCTTGCACAACGTTTAAGTGAATTTAGGATTTGTGAGAGAGACTAGATTGACAGCATTTTCAACTGAAAACAAGATTCTATCCACTGAAAATACAAAACATAATAAACTACGGTGCAAGCTTTGCCCTATTACTCCAAGTCCTTGTACATGATGCATATTGTTTCTTTATATTGTTCTTCATGTTCACTAAATGAAGGACAGGATCTAATGGCTTAATTAGAAGCAAGAGAGCTTTAGGTTAGATATTAGGGGAAACTTTCTAATTATAAGGGTAGTTAAACCCTAGGACAGGCTTCCAAGGGAGTTTGTCCCATCACAGGAAGATTTTAAGAACAGGCTGGAGAAAGCTGTCAGGGATAATCTACAATTACTTAGTCCTGACCCAGTGCAAGGGACTGGACTTGATGTCTCTCTGAGGCCTACATTTCTATGATTCTATAATTTTACTAACCCGAGGTGCTTTGCATTTGCTAGATTTTTCCACAGATAAAGAACAAATATGTACTTTGAGACTAGGTGACATTTAGTTCAATTTAAATAAAAGAATAAGGAAAGACAGAAACACAGTAAAGTCTGCCTGTGAGAGCACCAGAGGTGTGTTTCTTCTGTACAGGCTGTGGCAGTTCCAAAGACAAACTGACTGCTCTGTCTTTGAACATAGGTTTTTATGAATTTAAAGGCAGTATACAGAGAACTAAAGCATCATAGTTTCACAGCTATATGCAGCACAGAATTCAATAAGCACTACAGAAAGTTTAAATTGTTTTAAGTTTATGTTGTTTGTTTAATTTTCATAAATACTTGTTGAGATTTTTGTAGTTACTATATCGGGAGCTGAGTGGTACTCTGTGTTAATGTGGCCTTTCACCTCATAGTTTCTATACTGAAGCACATCACAGATCAAAAAGAGTTTGGTGTTTTTCATTCCAAGGGCCTGTAGAAATCCACCAGTGTTTTAAAATATCTTACAATATGGCACAAGCATTAGTCCGTCCAGCAGAACCTCTGAACTGGAATAACAGAAGGAATTTCAAATGGCAATTTATTGGCAGAGCTGTGCAGAGGCCAAAAGACTGGACTAGCAAAGATGGCATAGAATCATAGGCTTCGTCTACACTGCAGCTCTATTTTGGGATACTGGAGGTATCCTGAAATAGCCATTCCACATCTTTTGAGCGTGCCCGTTATTTTGAAATACAACGGGCTTGTTATTCTGACGTCCCTGAAAAACTCATTTCACGAGGAATAAGGGACATTTTGGAATAGCGATTTATTTCAAAATAAGTGCGGTGTAGACAGCACCAAATTTTAAAATAAGCTATTTCAAAATGGACTCAAAATAAGCTACGTAATTTGCGCCAAGGCAGGACTAAGTAACCCTCGCCCATCCCTGCCAGTGTTTGTCCAACCTGTTCTTAAAAACCTCCAGTGATAAAAATTCCACAACTTTACTTGGAAGCCATTCCAGAGCTTAATTACCCATTGAATGTAATTGAAATACAATCGGGGTTGTACTGGTATAATTATATTAGCAAAAAGTCATTCCCCACCTCACATAGTTATACTAGTACAAAAGCTGTCTGCAAACGAGGACTTACTCTGAAATCATGTGACATACTGCAAGGTAAATTAGCATGACAAAAGGAAGTGTATCAAAACTGGCAAAAGAGAACCTATTAAGTGCCCAGGATCTTTCTCCAGAAATGAATTTATAGACAAATGCAACAAATTGAATGCCAAAGTAATATTCTAAGGATTCTATGCAGTTTTCTTTAGATATTGTAGTTCTGTTTCTTTTCCATTTTGTATTCTTATGCTTCAGTATATGATTGCACAGGGAACGCTATATACTGTGCATATTTTGGTAATAAATAACTGTCACTGACTTGGCTTTAAATCTTTTCTCTTCTCAGAACCGATGTGTTCAGCTCTGTAAGTACCCTCAAGTGGCTTCAGTTTCTGGCCTCAGTAAAAGATATCAAAAGAAATGCAAGGATGCCTGTCTTAGAGAAATCCACACAGAAGGAAAAAGATGCATGCAGCATGGATGAGACAGTAAGTAACTCTTTTTGGACAAAACTAAATACCAGAACTGGATTAAAGAAAGGTGTTTTTTTAATTACTATCAAAATGAAACTCAGTGATGAATACAAACACTATTCTTCACCTTATTTCTTTATTTTTGGGAAACAATGGTCACTTGCAACAAGACTGTTAATCCAGTTTAGCACTTTTCGTATTCAAACTACAAGCAATTCATCCTCACTTGGCACTTGTGATCATGCCTAGATAGTTATGTATTATCCATATTCTACAGAGGGAGAAAGAGAGACCAAAAATAGAGGTGATTCTTTACAACAAAACCTGAAGTGGCAAAATATTTTTTTTACCAGTGCAGGCCTATCTGTTTCTCACATACAAATCATGTATGGGTAAATATGTTAAAATAAATAGATGATTTACAGAACTTAGGTCAGAAGTCTGGATGAGCATGCCCAAAATTAGTTACTTGCATCCATCAAGTGTGAAACTTTTGCCCTTTGTGAAGCTATGGAACTAATAGCAATCTTACTTGGACAAAGCATGGTGGAATCAGAGTACCTGACATCACCAGGACATACCATGTTTTATGCCCACTGCCACTGAACTGCTCAAACACATTCCAAAGGAGATTGCATGATTGTACTGTGCTCCAAATGGACAAAAATCACAATTAGACCACTTAATTACATTTTCATTTATAATGTATATACATGCATTGGAGGCAGTGGGGCCGACAGCCATCACGGGCTCACGGGCCAGGTGTGGAGGGGCTGGCTCTGCGTCCCCAGACCTTAGGTGGGAGGGGTAGAGCTGGCAACAGTCAGGCTGAAGCATCACCTGGAGTGCAGCTCTGGGCCCCCTTCACAGCACTCAGAGCCATGCGCAGTGTGAGGAGTGGTGCTCCAACAGCTATTAAAAAGTCCCAGGGCTCTGGCTGCTACTGCTGCCACATTGCTGGGCCCCAGAGCAACTTCCCCTTTGTCCCCTCCTGTCACCAGGCCCAATTAGAGGCTAAATTAGCCCTTCGTCTTTGTAAATTAATTCATCACACTCTCCGTGGGTAACTAAGTATTATGCCCATTTTACAGATGGGGAAATTGAGGCAAAGTGATGCTTTTCCCATAGCCTTGGATGGCAGTAGTAGAGCTGGAATTTGAACACAGAGTTCCTTGTTCCCAGTTCTTGGTTCACAGCACTAGTTTCTCACTCACATTCTCTCTCTGATAAAGGAACAAACCCATTACAAATGAATTTACAGTATATCAGATAGGGTAAAGCAATCTGAAGGCTTCTTATTTATGAAACAGGCAAAAGCCAAAACAAAAGAATGAGTATCTATTTAAAGAACTGATCCAGACAAACACTCCACTGAATGATAAATATTAATGGCAGGGTACGGATGGCTTTCAGGACTCTGAGGCAACCATACACCAATCAGAGGACTACTCTTGTGATTTCTGATTTTTACTCAAAATCCGTAATATTTTTCCATCCTTCCATGGTTCTCTGCATGGTTTACCTCCTCTGCTAGACTTCTCTGCTCTTTTTATTTTTAATGAAAGCTCATATTTGTTTTCCTTAATACCATCTTATAAAACAAAGTGATACTGTCTGACAGTAATGCATGGTAACACCAAGAAATGCTGTTTGAGAGCCATCATTGATTCATTACTATATAGGCAACTATGCTCATCACCAGAGATCTTACGTTAGGTCAATATTGTCACTGATCCATCTCCACTGAAGTGACACAATTACAACAATGTTCAAAACCACAACTGCTAAAAGACACCGCACATTTAAAATCTACAAGGGTGCCACTTGAATGCATTGATACTGCCTCGTGGCATGCAGAATTATTAGAACGATGAGCCAAACATAGAATGTAGCTAAAAGAATCTCCCCTGGAGAATTAAAGGTGTCCAAAAGGGAAGTTTTCCTAAGGAGTCTGAATTCTTTTCTAGAGAAAGAGCTCATTGGGATTCCATATTTCAGTCCTGGGGGAATTCTGCAGTTTTACTACGGCTCCAAATGTAACAATTGAAGAATTCCCCCAGGACTACTATTTTTCCTTTTAGTCACCCTCAAAGAAAAGCTCTGTGCATCTATTCCTTAAAATCAGTCTGCATGTGAAGGGCAGCACCAACTAATTCCAAAGGAATCTCTGCATATTTTATGTTAAACTTGTTAAGATTCCTGCATCATCAGGAAGGCTTCCCTTAATGAGAAATTTAATTCTTTCAGGGAGATTGCTTTAAGTGTTGCCTTCATCTGGCCCACCTTTTATAATACACATACAAAGAAAAAAAAACATTTGTATGCTATTTTTATAGCAGCTAGTGCAAAAAATATGTGACAGAAATGGCATGTGAGCAAAGCTAGAAGTATGGATCTGAGCATAGACATTACCATCTTAAAACCAGTCTTAACCTGTATATTTCTCTAAAATAGTCATACCAACTGTTGTAACTCAACCAAAAACAAATACTACAAATGATTGAAAATATTTAGTGCTCTATCTTTTTATCATTAGACACTGCCCAAGCTTCCAGTCCCTCCGTTGCAACAGACCTTGCACATGTACTTACAAAGCATGAAACACTTAGTGCCAGATGAGCAATTTAGGAAGACAGAGGCCATAGTAGAAAAATTTGGAGTTGCAGGAGGCGAAGGAGAATTCTTGCAGCAAAAACTTCTAGAGAGAAGGGAGAAGACTGGAAACTGGGTAAGCAAATGCATATTAGAAAATCAATGGCTTATGTGTAAGCATGTTCATTTATAATTTATTTGTGATGTTCTACAACATGATGTACATGAAAACTCTTTAGATCAGGTTACTCTAAATCAGAACACCTTCTGCGATCAAGGCCAGAAGTTAGATTAGTTTAAAAAGTGCAGGTGCTTTTTACTCTTTTTCTACCCACATTCCCAGAAGGACAGAGTGGAATGTTTCTAAGATGATTTGCTGGTGGCATTGTTAAAAATGTAGATATTTACAATGCCATCATTAGACTTTGGGTCAACAGCTCAGTAGGATGGAAGAGGAGAGTTCACTGTTTTAAGCTATTTGCACATGCAGGCAGAGAGCGCTACTTCACATGCCTTTGGAAATCTTGAGAGCTAGACATTCTCCACAAACTGATGGGGCTACAAAAGGAATGTGGGCATAGTGTACTACTGGGTACCAAATCCGTCTGATTCTTGATCAAGTCAAATTATCCTGGGCTGTATAAATGGGAACATGTTTTATTTAAGACTATTATTT